TTTAATTTTTTTACCATTATTTCACTAATTCCGCAGTAAAGTTTGATTTCTTCTCTCACAGGTGACTTCCACTTTTCTCCTAACGGTTAAAAAATCAATTCTCAAAATCGCTCCCAAACGAGGCCTAAATGTTGGAACTCATTAGCCAATAGTTAATGCTATGGACAAAAAAAAAAAAAAACCACATGTACTGGAAAAATGTCTTATAGAAGTTTTTCGGATGCTGTGTTCGCAACATTTGATTGGATCTTCTTCTTTTTTTGCGTTTTTTTATCATGAACAAATGAAAAATCGTTAACTGGATATCTGTAAAAAAAAAAAAATTGCGAAGTAAAATCTGTACACCTAGCATTGTTCGCTTGATGACCACCTTAATCAAAATCACATTACTTAATCAAAATTACATCACAACTCTGGGGCGTATAATTAATATTCGGTCGATCAAAGATTTCATTCCAACGACAATAGAAAGAAGAATTAAAGAAACAACTGAAAGAAACGTAACAAAATTTAGATGTGGCAAATCAAGAAGGAAAGCTATAGACACTATGATCCATCACCATGAATAAAGAAGAAAATTTCTACTATCACTTCGAAATTACACTTGCCTTTCAATCCTGCGGTGGATTTAAGGTCTGTGCCCAGGCCAGCAAAGGCCAATTCATTCTTACAATTTTTTCATGGAAGAATACATAAGTCAATTCTTAACTATACTCTAATTCAATTTTAAGAGAAAATATTTAAAAATTCAAAACTCAGGCGGTAATTAATAAATATTGTGTATAAAATAAATTTTAATAAATATACACCTCAAATAATGCTTTCAATTACCATACTCTCCAAAAAAACAAATGATAACAAATCTGGAAGCAACAAAGACCTTTCTGGAGTAAATTACCATCGTCAAAATATGATGGTTTGAAATCATCAAAATATTGAAGTCACAATTTGAAAATTATCAGAACATCAAACAAAAAGTGAATCTACAGAAAATTCATCTCGTCAAAATCTTAGAGATGTCAAACAGGCTGAGCAGCTAGTTGGCCAGGTCCCTCGACTCAGAAAAACAGGGCTCATGGGCAGCTTGGGCTCGTAATTTTACGAGCCCAAGCATGAGCAGAGTGGTTGGCCCGTTTGGCGAGTCAAACCGGCTCGACTCGCTAATGGATGAACCGCTTGTGGGCACGAGTCCACGAGCTTGGCTCTTGGTTCGTCATGAACAATGATCGAAAATGATCACTTTTTTGGAAAAAAAAATGATTGTTTCGATCACTGAACTTTTAACTGTGGCTAGAATGGCCACTAAATTTTTGGCTTTTTTCTTTATAAACACCCATGAACTAACTCATTTTTTCACACAATATCTATCAACAACTCTCTCTCTCTCTCTCTCTCTCTCTCTCTCTCTCTCTCGCTCTCTTCCACAATTATCAACAATTATACGATATAGATTCATTTTTACAATTCCATCATCTTCAATTTCAATCATTCAATTCTCACACTACAAATTCACAATCTTAAGCACATTATAGTTCTACCCGTACTCTTTACTCAAGTCTTAGAAGCTATATCATCTATCTATACATTTTTAATTTCATCACAACTCACAAATGGATCCACACTAATTTGTTAAGGGCTTGTTTGGTGTCGGAGGCGAATCACATGTGACGCCGCAAAATCAATATCAGAATCAATTTTCGGTCTAAATGAAGTACTAATTCCTAAAAAATATTTCAAATTTGTTTGCACATAGAAGAATAATCCAATTGATTCATATAACGTTGATGTTACTGAAGCTGAACAGGAGGAGGAACCTGAATTAGACATTTTTTATGTTAGAGGGAAGCAAAAGGGGGAAAACGGACAAAATGTTAGGATCACTTCAAATTGATTTCAATGGGTCGTGTTATCGATGGAGTCCTAAGTCCCAGAGTCTACAGTAATATATAAATACTTTCAACAACAATTGGCATGGTAAAAAGGCATTGGTACCACACACCTCAACTGTCATTACAAAAAGTGTGCGGTCAAACATGGACTTCTTGAAGTTGGTCAAACACAATTGTAATTTAGTAGTCCAGGAATCGGTTCTACGACTTCGTCCCTCACCACGTGGATGTATTCGGAAGAGAATGCTCGAACGAAAATAGTGAAACTTGTTGCTGGTGCTGAGTTGCCTCTACCAATAGCGAATAACCAACATTTCGTCTCGTATGTAAAAAACCCTTCAACCGAAGTACGTTGGGGTAGGTTGAAACACTCTTTGTTCAGATACAATAGAATATTTCCTTCAAACAAAACAACAATTAATTATGGATTTGCAAAACTATAGGGGTGTTATATCATTAACTTTGGATATATGAGAGATGATTAATAAAAGAGTTTATATAACTGCAACTGCACACTACATAGACTCACTTTGGTGTATGTATAAAAAATTATTGCTTTTAAAATTATTGAATTCCCTCATAACCCAACAATATATATAATGCTCTTATGATCATTATTAGAGATTATCACTGTGAAAGTAAAATTCGTTCTTTTACATTCGACGACGCTAGTGCTAATAAAGTAGTTATCGATAAGTATTACAGCTTGATTTTGGTTGTTATTTGTTTCATATTCGTTGTGTATGCCATATTTTAAATTCAATTATGCAAGATGATTTGAAACATATTAAAGATGAAATGCAAAGAATTAGGAATATGCTAATATATATCACAATCTCTCCTAATAAAAAACAAGCATTAGAGGAATTTTATGTCAAATCTAGGGTGATGAATGCTAAAACATTTGTTAGCAACATAGATCATGGATAGTACTCCACTCACTTATTATTAAAGTCATGCAAATATTTTGAACATTTAATAACCGAGTTTTATAACAATAGGCATATTTGAAACTATAACGACACTATTTTGAATGAATCCGATTGACTTTTAGATTTAAAAGTTAAAAAAAATTGACAAATTTTTATGATTCTGCAAATATTTTATATGGAATTTACTATTGCACTAAATGTATGGTGCTCGAACGTTTTTATATAATTGTAAGGACATTTCATAAATAGAAAAATGATCCGATATTAGTGCAATTATATATTTTATGAAATTAAAGTTTAGAAAATTTTGAAAAGACTTACCTATATTATTTCCTTTAACATGCATGCATCATAGACCCCCCAATATAATTTATCAGAAACTAAATATTTAATTGATCAAATTTCAAGAGCTTAAACTTTTAATGTACCTATCATGTATAGAAATTTAGAATAAACTTTATATGAAATGTATGAATTATATGCAGAATGAATAGGTACAAATATTAATCGAGTATCCTCTACATCTACTTCTTCCACTGACATTAAAAAAATAACGCTGAAATATTAACTTTATTTGAAAGCATTAATACGTATAGATATAATGCAAATGCAATATGTTCATCTAGTAATACTTTGTATTCTGCTTGTAATCAAACATCGGAAGCAAGTTCAAATATATTGCTTCCTAAATTAATTAATTACTTTAATCATAATATGTCTACCAATAAAAACAATTAAAAAAAGTTCCGAAAAGATTTTCAAATTCTGGTGAAGGTATGAACGACGATGGGCAGTAATTTTTGCAATTGCAAAAAACTTACTTACACATCCGATTAGCACTGTAGCTTTGAAGTCTGTAGTTAGTGCACGTAAGAGGATTTTGCCCGTGGACAGGAGCCAACTTAAAGAAGATATTTTGAAAGCATTAATGTGCGTGAAGAATTGACATGACACTCATTTTCGACCACAAGATAAGTATGTTAAAATTACATGACATCGGGTAAGTGATATTTAATTTAATATATTAATCAAAATTTGTTATTTTATAATACTATTTTCAATTTTCTTTTAAAAATTGTACATTTTACAAGTTGTTCGTATATAATTTCTAACTCTACATACTCAAAATTTAAGTCGTTTGTTCCAAATCCGGATAAAGGGGAAGAGTTTATATTTTATCTATTTAAAAAAAATTCATGAGCTCTCAAGCCCAAACTCGACTCGACCCACGAGCCGAGCTCATCCCTCGAGTAACGAGCCCAACTTCTGCTCGACTCGTGGGTAGCAGCCCATTGCTATCCCTACAAAATCCTATTACTAAAATTCCATCGAACGATTGAGGTCAAAAATGGAAAGTTGTCAACATAGTATATCGGAAGATCAAACAAAAAGAAAATCTACAGAGAGACATGTAAGAGCATAAATCTTTGATTCCCACAGTCATAATCTGATTAACTAAAACCTATCAGACAATTGAAGTCCAAAATTGAAAGTTGTCGACATTGTGTATAAGAAGATCAAACAAGGAAAGAATATATAGAGAACTCACCAGAGCAAAATAACTTCAATTCTCACCGACGAAATCTTGTTGATTGAATTTATGATCAATTTGGAGAACTCGAATCGGAGAAATCAATGGCATGTGATCAGTTCTCTTAAATTTGTGACCTTTAACCTATGTACTATGTACCATGTACCATGACATGTGACATGTAAATTGTTATATGCAATATTGATCCAATGGTCTATGACCGGTTCTATTCTTAGCTATTAATTCTAAATTAACTAACATTCACGTTAATTCATTTATTGTATTTGTCATTCGTCTTCATTGATGCATTTAGTTGTAATTCTAATACTCACATTTAAGTGCATTTTACTATTTACTTACATGTATAATAATTAGCCTTTTATTTTCAAATACTTGCATTTCTCTCATAGTTAGATCAAAATGGTGGATGAAGAGTTAAATATTACTCACTGTACAAGTTAGAAACATAAGTGCAAAAACTATATGCTTAGAGTGGTCTAAGAAGTTAGTTTTTCTAAAATTGATTCCCAGCCTCACTTTATTTTGATTGAATCTGTTTATTTTACTCGTAGACTAATTTATTCATACAATCACACGTTCCAATCAACGAATTCATACAAGTTACAACATACTATAAAGAGATACTAGTGGATTCAAGAATTACTCTTTAACAATTTCATTTAAAATTTCCGTTCAACACCAAATTATTACAAGCTACTAAACTAGCAGCCCATACAAGCAACTCGAGCTACTGCTCCGCAAATAAGACATACACAACATATGAAGCAACTTGTCGCAAATAACACATACACAATATAAGACACGACTTGACAGTACAACATACGAGAGTTTTAACTCTTTTTTCCTTCTCTTGATATTACGACTACTGATTAATGAAAGAAGCCACTCTTTTCAGCATAGCCTTCCCATTTTCACTGTTAGGGAAAAGCACACTGAATACATGGTTCTCCCCTTTTACATCCACAATATCTACCTCTCCATCCCACCCACATTTTGTCAATGCTTCCTTGTAGTGATAACCGCGTTCTTTAAGAATATCTTCTTCTGCAACATAAATAAGCACTTTTTTGCACCCCAGTTTTGAAAGATTCAAATCCATGGAAGGATTTATCGAAGGGTCATCTAAACCTGTAGCCTTTGGAAAAGAAAAAGCCCATAAATCATCCACATAACTCTTCTTAAATACTAAGGATGTCCCTTCCTTCCCAATTGGATCTTTACCCCAAAAATATGGACAGTTGAGAAAAATTCCATCTAGATTGATCCCAGGCAACTTCTCTTGACCAAATCTTATGGCCATGTTGTGTGCTATGTTGGCTCCAGCACTGTCTCCACCAAAGTAGACATGATTAAAATCAGCATTTTCTTGAACCCATTGCTCATGTCCTTCACCTGTGGATTCAGATGCCACACATTTTAGTTCAAGCCAAGCATCTTCATAAGCAAGAGACAATTTAAAGAATCTTTCAGGGACTGCTTGGGGAGATTTTTTAAAGTAACGGATTTGAGCGTTTATGAATGGATCGATTTTGAGTGATTTTAGTAGCAATTTTAAAAACAGTCTACTCCACGATTAGGAGTTTATTATCCATCGATTCTAGAAACATTTTAAAAGAATAAAATTAATATATATCCATTAGTGAAATTTTCGGTTTATAATTTCTTGTATGAAATTTTTTTACTAATAAGTGATTTAAAAAGTTATTTATTTAATTAAAATTTTAAATTAATATTTTTTACTTTTTAGTAAACTTTATAATTATAAGTTAATTTGTACTTCTAAATAATTTTTACACATAATTGAATTTTTACCTATAAGTAACTTCTTATATTTTATGAGTGAATTTTTTTCTTATTATTTTTTTTAATTAAAGTTTTTTTTTTGCTTATAAATAATTTTTCTTAGTATATTTTATTTAAATTTAGTTTTGATCAAAATCTGTTGATTGAAAATAATTATTTTATAAATGATAAAATTAGAAAAATATAAGAAACCGTAAAAAAAAAAAAAACCACCGATTTTATGGGTCAAGAGAACCGATGAAAATTACACTATACTGATCTAAAATCGGTGCCAAAAAATATGAATCCAATCCTTCCCTAGATAGGATTTGTTGTTGACTCAATTTTAATAAATAAATTTGCTTTTTTTCTAAACTTTTAATATATTATACTCACCCGTGGACTGAGACGCCACCCACTTCAGTGCAAGCCAAGAATCTTCATAAGCAATCGGAACAGGGTGCTCGGGGGCTAATCGATAGCCCACAGAAACTGCGACAACATTGGCTTCGGCGACGAGTGAATTCAGGTGGTTTTGGTACGTAGAAGAGGAGGGTGATTCCGCCACAAAGCCACCACCGTGAAAATAGACAAGAAGTGGAAGTTTCTGGCCGGGATCGATGTTTCCCGGGAGGTAAAGCCTAGCAGATACATCATGTTCCGGTGAAATCACGACGTCTTTGGACTGAACCCCAGTTTCTGAATCTACTGATGCAGGAACAATATCTAGTCCTACAAATCTTTCGACTTTTCCATCTTTGTATACTCGGACCATTGGATGAAAATCGTGGAGAATTTCTGTTGAATTTGTAGCCATTGAAGCAAGGTAAGGAAGGGAGTTATGAGCGAAAGAATTATTGGAGGAAGAATGAAACAAAATTTGGACTTAAAAATGTGCCTCGAATTGACGGCTTCCTCTGAATAAACTGTGGTCCAGTTGGTAGGAATTTTAAGAATTCATTTTTTAATCATTAAAAGAAAATAGAGGTCATTCGTGAGAGAATAAATCAAAAATTACGATTGGTATAATAAAATAATAATTAAAAAATCAATTTTTTTGGATGAAAAATCACTCCCAAACACCTCCTATACGTACCGATGAAATTTTCAGAAAATATTAAGATAATGAGGTGATAATACTGCATTTATTGATTTAATTATATTTTTTGTCCAATATTCAATAACATTTTAACAGTTGACAATTCGTCAAGAAAAATGTAAATATTTCTGTATATGTAGCATTTTTTAGTAAGCTCATTAGTTCCTGCTTGAACCATGTTATGTAAAGTTCATTTTTTTGTGAAATTTCATACAATAAAATAATTTCACATAAATTTTAAAAAAAAAATTCCTACTTTTTAATCATGGTTCTTTGAAAAATCATTATTAAAAAATCTATTTTCCCAAAAAATAAGGCTCAAGCATAGCCTTAATAAATTTATATTTTTTTAAATATAAAAAAATAATAAATTTGTAGAGACGATAAGTTATTTGGATGGTGTGGGTTTCCAATTGAAGGAGAAATTGAATTACTTTTATTTCCCATATTTTAAAATTTTTCAGTGATAAAAATATCAAAAATATGTATTGAATTTTATGTTGTTTTCAAAAATACTAAACAAAACAATTTTTTAATATTCTATGAAACTAAAAACAACTTGAAATTACCGGTCCCATAATTGCCTTGCCCCACCCCAAATAGTAGCAGGGCAAGAACGGAAAACATGGTCTCCATTCTAATTATTTTTATTCGCTTTTATAGCCCTTATTTGTTTCCCTTTTTTTGTCCATTAAAATGAAAAATATGATCGTTATCTATCGCATTGAATCACCATATTTGACTTTCTATCTTTTGTATGATGCTCGTAACGGCTATATTTTTCATTCTCATTTTTACATTAATGTATACCAAACGGGACAATAATTCTAAATTTAAATTGTATTTTAAAATTTTGAAATTATATTTAAAAATTTGAAACGGGGCAGAAAAAGGAGATTCTGTAATAACCACCCCGTCCTCACCTCGCCTTCCCAAAATCCTCAATGGAAAGGGATGGTAATGGCCGATCTAGCCCCCTTGCCATCCTTAGAGTCAAATCCATTCTTTATATAACAATTGGGAAAAACCGTAACTACCATAATTTAATATTACGTATTTATAAAATATCAAAGTTTGAGAAACTTTTCATAATTTAAGATTTTTTTATCAAAATAGGTAATACTTGATTTTATATAAATAAGTCACCTCGGTTGTTGGTTACTAATGGTTATGACTTTTCTCTCTCTCATCATATTTCTTCTCTAAATATTTGCACTAAGTTATATA